GATCATATTTTGAATTTTTGAATTTTACTATATTAGTAATATACAAAATCTTAATTGTTTATTTCCTATTGCTCTTCATTAGTAGTGTAGTGAGTAAATTTTTTAGCATGAGTTTTTGTTACTGTTATAGAAATAATTTTATTGTTGAGATGTAACGGTGTAGTCACCTGTGCATTAGTTTCATTAATCAAGGAGGCCTTGGCTATGTGAAGTTAACCTGAAGTATGATTGCCAGCGGAAATTGGAAAATCACGAATAATGCATATTTCTCAAGAAATCAGTTAAAATTTTTCTGTACGATTTTATATAATCATACAAGTTTTCTACTGTTCGAGCATAGCAGAAACGTGTTGTGAGAATTGACATTGGATTTCTGAAATGAAGATTTTTCATATGATTTTTTTGTATGATCTTGTATGAACATATATGGTTCTTGAATAAAATCGGATAGGATCATACAAGAATTGATGACTAATCGTACTATCTGATTTCTTGACTTGGATTCTTCACACAATAGTCAAATATATAGTTCGCAATTTACAGCTATATAGAGTGTATATACATTTTCAATCATGATGGAATGAAACTTAGGATTAGTCAGAAAGAGATGGTTTTTGCAGTTTTTAACGATGAATTGGCAATTCGTAAATCCGGAAGAATCATATTCTTTATAGCATCCACTATATTTTATAGCTTTTCGCTGAGATACGACGAGTTATAGAATGGTACGTCTGAATTGTTTTTATAAGCCGCACAGAACGAATGTATCGAAATTCTAACTCTAATATAGATCATTAAAAAGTCAAATTTTCTCTCTATGACGGTAGAATCAATATTTCGACTATACTTTAAGCAGACATGAATCAAATGAAACGTTTAATTCGAATCAAATGGAATAGTCAGAATTAAATGATAAACTTATAATTCTACTATATGAAATATATTGTAATGTATGAAGCAAGCAGTTATTGCTTCTGATCCAACCCAAGTCATAACCATCATCATTTTTAACTTACATTTGATAACACTTTTGGTGACAAGATCACATCTTCGATCCATCAAACATTAATCATTTATAAGTATGAAGAGAAAGCTATTTTTCTTCAATCACACTTTCTATGCACTACATTTTCAATCATTTTACATGAATAGTAGTAATAACAACAAGCGCATTTATGATAACTCTGTAACATATTCGACCTATTTTCTTAAGTTTTTCACTAAAAGATCTTGCGGTGGTCTAGATTTTCCAGAAGAACATTTTTAGAAAGATTAATTACTTAAATTTTTATTTCCTATTATGACTCTATTATTTTTAGATAGAAGAATTCAGCTTTATATACTGCTAATTAATAGAAACAGTTATGACTAAGATAGTGTTCTCTTCATCTATGCTGCTTTCTTTTAGATGAAAAAGTTATTCATTGTTTATATTATTCGTTCACATTCTGTTTAATTACCCACATTTACAGAAATATCTATGCTCAAATATAATACAGAAAAAGATGGATTGTTACAAACATAGATGAAAACGTAAGATGCACCATCCAAGATGAGCCGATGCTTCTGACTTCTCGATATGTGTTAAATGTATGAGGAATTTGATTAAATATATTTTAGTTTTTTATCAATCTAATTGTTGCTTCAGCATCTATATTGTCTCGAAAGAGAGACTAGTAATATACATGAAGAGAGATCGTAAAGGTAAATGAAGAGATAGTGACTATAAATGATATGATACTCGGACTTCGAGCAATTCAGACTATTGAGAATTCTCTTTCAAATAAATTATGCGTGTAGTATATTAGTACAGTACGTCTTTTGTCTTATATCTTGCTGATTGAAATGAACAAGACTTCAAGTTTTTTTAAACTTATTCAGAATACGTTGAGTATCACGTCTTTTAACTACATTTTATGTTGACCAGTAATATTTAACATATACTGAGACCTCAGACATAAATTATAGCAGTTCACTAATTTATGCTAATGAACAGCAATATCTATTGATACTACTGTTTAAGAAAAAATATACTGCAAAAAGAATTCGTACCTACACAATTATTGCATGTCATGGAGATATGAAAAGATTAAACCGCTAGAGATGATTAAGTCCTAAATAAATCCGCTGAGGAATTTTTTGATATTTAGAGATGTATGCATGTTACGATCTTTTTCTTTCCTTTCCTTTCTGTCCTATATATATGTAAATGTACGATTTTACGTATGCCCTTAATGTACATGGACTAACTGTATTACGTAATCGAAAAGACAACTCTGACTCACGTATATGACATTGATGGGATATATATGAAGAACGAGAAAACAAAGAGATGAATTAAAAATCACAGAGGTAATAGAGAATAAAAAGAATAGTGAATATGTATACATGCTACATCACTGTAACAATATAATAAACGTGAGAAAAGTATGACACATACTAAAAAAACCGAGTAAGATAATTATTCAGTAGTATTCACAAAGACTTTTTATTGATACTGTAATATGGATCATTTTATGACACATTAATCATAAGTGCCAAGCAACAAAAAAAAAAGAGTGGCTGAACAAGGATGCGAACCTTAGATGGATAAATGTGAAAGCCATCGCTCTAAGCATTGGTCATTCGCTGTCGTCAGTTAATAGTGAAAATTTTAGAACGATGATTCACATTATCAATCGATCCAACTGTATAAAGAATATATCCGCTTAAAAAAGAATCGAGCCGTTAGGGGATCAATTCATATTTAGAGTTAAATGTCGCTGAACGCTGCTGTAGACATGTATGTATCTTAAATAGATCCAGTAGTACAAAAATTATCCGGTGAGAAATTATTTAATTTAATGGAGTTTTTATCACGAACTTTACAATTAAATAATGCTTTTGGAATAAATCCGCTAGAAAACAATTAATCCCACCAAAAATTTATTTATGTTGGAATTCATCTGGATATATCCTATATAAAAACATCATAGTAACACAATAGAACACATAGGAAAGAAATATCCCGGATTTATAAAAACTTCTAATAAGTCCCGAAAAAATAAGTCCCGGTAGCCCTTCGAGAAAAAAAATAATAGTTTTAGAAGATTGAAAGTCTACTGTTCTTTATTTGAACTCTTAAAGATCATTTTGAAAATTGAATACTTTTTCGATATGCGTTTCTCACTGTTTATATAACGAGTTCAGAATAGACACAAATATTGAAAATATTCGTGTTGTATTTTAATGTTTTTTTTTCAGTGTATTATTCTATGTCTTACCTTGGATTTTTCAATACACGTATTTACTTTGTATTGGATTTTTCTCAACATGCTTACTCATATACCTATGCTTCATACTTCCTTTTTTTCATTTATGTATTGTTTGCGCCCCTCTATATATCATATCTAGTATCATACAAATATATTGAATCTATACACTTACTGAAACACGTCATAGAACTTAATGTTATAGTTTTCGAAATACTATGTAGAACAAAGTACAAAATTACATAAAGCTTATGAACATGATTTGTTTTTACTAAAAATTGGATTCTTTTTTTTTAATTAAAACTCAAAAAGTAAAATAGATTTTGCCACGCGAAATTACTGAGATAGATTTTAACTTTAAATTCTTATTAAAAAGACTTTATTTTGAAAAAATTAACAAAATATATATATTAATTGATACAATTTTTATATTGATTTTGTCGAGAAAATCGAAGAAATCATGAAAAATTAAGAAAACGAAGAAATTTTTGAAAAAAATCTAGATATTGATCAAGAATTATTTGCATATAAATAGTAGATCTTTCATATCAAGAAGAGTTATCTCTAATAGTTTCATCGAAATTAGAACTATAGAAAAATATTCAACGTCACTTTCTTCGACCACCTTTCAAGACAAAAAAGAAAGATGACTTTTTCTCAAAGAAAAGTGTTCGTTCATGATCACATATATTAATGGTTATACAGAACAATTAATCTGTATTATTTGTCGCTAAACTTTACATTTATTGACTAAATAACTAGTGCAATACTCTTTTTTTTCAATTATATTTCGTCAATAGATTTAATGAATATTATAATGTTTTGGTCATTCGAAAAATAATTTCTTCGAACATTTTACATTAATGTTATATTTAATTGAAATATGCATTTAAAAATTTATTATAGATACAAGTATTGAACTATGACGTATTAATCGAATGAATATATTTATACAAAATTCTTTGATTTTATATTTTTATATTTGTTTGTATAGAAGATTATCATTACATGACATTTTCGTGAGCATATAGTCTTCGATAAAAACCTTTGTATTGTATACATAATTAATTACTTTTTTACCTGTATGAATAAATACACAAATATTTGTTGTGATTTTCCAATCATTTTTAATGACTATTAAGATTCAAATGATGAAGATAATAATAATAAGAAGAAAAGAAAGTAAAACATACATATCATAATTAAGGAAGTGATTCATTATATAAGATTCCTTCTGGTTCAAATCATGACTATGCTAATAAGAATGAATTATTTGTTTGTCAATCCTAAATTGATAATTGGTTAAAGAATTCTAATCATTTTATTTAATTCAGATTAACGATGAAGTTATAATCAAAGTGAATCAAAGAAAAAAAAATCTATAAATATATTGATTAAAATCTGTTGTATAGCAATAATCAATTAAAGATTTAAATAAATTATTACAAAACAAATAATCAAATGTTTATCGTGACGTTTTTTTTTTGTTTCATTCTTGCACTAAAATACTTTAAAAATATTCTATTGTAATTTATCAGTGTAAACATATTCATTCTTTTTCCTTCAATAATTGCGAAATTTTTGTCATGATATTTAGTAACCTTATTTCATTTGACGTCATATTTCGATATGGTGACTGCACGTGATTGTTATTAATACTTGATATAAATACAGAGCGCTTTACCTATAGATATTTTTTATTTGAACAGCTTTTTTCAAGTGACTTTCTTTCGATAATCTGTGTAAATTATGACGTGGTGTTTTCGTCTTTTTATTTTGATCAGTTTTACGTTCATTTTGGTCAACAGCGGCAGGATTAAACGCCAAGGAGGAGGAGGTGGTGGTGGAGGTGGAGGTGGTGGTGGTGGTAGTGGTGGAAGGGGTGTTGGTTTCACTTATTCACAAATTGGATAGACAAATACTTCATTTGAAGAATAATTTTACAAAAATAACTACAGTAAAATACAAACAGTTTCATGGTGGTGGTTCAAGTTTCGGAGGTATGAATACTTTATGAGTTGAGAAAAGATTTATTCATATCATAGAACTATATAAATACAAATATCAAAAATAGTATGTAGAGATTTTCACACTTACCATTACTCTACCGCATTGGGTATGGTGAACGTTAAAAAATTTCTCTCAATCAAGGTATAGGATACGAAAAAAACCTTACCCTAAACGTCTTTACTAGCATGAAGATATGAGAAAATTTCTCAAAAGGAAGGATAATTTATTTTGTCTTTCTACATCAAAAATATTTTAAGATAAGTGTTATTAAGAATTTGAATGTAATCATTTAAATTAAAGTAACAAATGAAAATTTGCATTCGAATGATTGTCAGTTTCATATAATATATATATATATATTTTTAATTTAATTGATTTCAAAATTATTTAGATCTACAGAAGATGATGAAAAGATGTTTATATAAATTGCCTTTTTTTTCAATCTAGGTACAAGTGGATATGGAGGAAGCTTAAGTGGAGGAGTCATTGCAGGCATAGTTGTCGGCGTGGTCCTACTAACACTTTTGGTTGGATGCTATTTGTTATTAAGTTGTTTAGACCTAACTCCATGTCAGAAAGGTCGACCATTACGTTCAAGCCGTTCTTACATTAATGGTGGAACTGCTTGGGAATATGATATAAGTAATTCTATCTTTATACCAGCTACATTTGCAAGTTACTATTATCAATATGGCATGAATCATGGACCATTTAATATGAATCTTGGATTCTATCCCGAAGCTGGTTATAGTGTTCATGGAGGAGGAAATGATGATGTTGGTACTTATATTATAACAGGTATTTATTCACCAAGCACTCTTCGAATGAGTTTGAAAAAACACTATCAAATTGGAACAGGAAATCCACGAGAAAATTTAGGACATCAAGTAAAAATTCAAGTCGAATGGAATCATAATAATCGACAGTTTGAAGGGAAATATTATGTTCGAACAAGATTACATAAAGATGAAAATATATTTATAATTCGATATGAAGGTACTACATTTTAACATTTATATACAAGTGATTGTCAAATAAAATTGATAAAAAATTTTTTTTGTTCTGTTTTTTTTTTATATTCTATACAAAACAACAAATAAATAAAACAAAAAAAAAACCATTGTGTTTCCATAAATTCTTTATAGATAATCATTTAGAATCTTTTGTTATATTTATAGATTGATGATTGTCTATATTAATGAAGACAAATTTTGATGAATAACATTAATTATTTCATTTGAATATTTCATGTTAATTTATAATTATAAAAATGATATATTAGTTTTTCTTCTTTTCTTCGTTTGTTCAATTGTATTTAATTTAGTTTGTTGTTTTCTTATTTGAATATTTTTTTTTGAACCAAAAAAATGTATTTTATTAATAAAAAATGTTTTAATTGTTTGTGGTTTTTTATATTTATTAAATAATTCTAATTCATTTTGATCATTCATATTTTGTTCACCTTCATTTTTAGATATATTTAATGAATCATCATTATCTAAGACATTTTTTTGTTTTTTTGATAATGTTTGTTTAAATTTTTTTATTTGTATTGATGATGTAGGTTCAGAATGTCGATAATTTTCAGGTCTTGAATAAATACTATAATTATAATTTATTGATGCATCATTTGATATTTGTAATTCCATTTGTTGTGATGGTGAAAGTAATGAATTTTGTTTAATATGCCATGATTTACTACGACCACATGTAAATATTATTTTTAATATTGAAATATATTTACGTCGAAATAATTTTCCTGATAATGAATATAATAATGAATTTGTTGATGAATTAAATAAATCAGTATAAAGAAATAATGCTAATGATTGTTTTATTTGTGGACATGATGATATTGAAACAACATATAATGTATGACAATGATACATTGTTAAAAATATTGGTATACCCCATGATATTGTTATAACAGAAAAACTTTCAATTAATATAACAAGAAATGCACGTAAATCATTTTTTAAACGATTTTTATGATGATTATTACTTGTTGTACGTTTTAAATATTTTAAATTAGTTGAAAAATAAATAATTTTTAATGATAATATATTTGCTAAAAAGACAATAAATGATGGTAATGCATGACCAAAAAATATTGCTACTGTATGTCGATTAAATGAAAATGATAATGAATGAAGAAAATCATATATTTTAAAATAAATTGTATATATTAATGTTATTTGACATGAACGTTTTTCAAATAATTTTAATAATATATCTGATGATTGTGTTTTAGATAATTGTTCAAATAAAATAGATGTATTTGTTAAATTAATATTATTAATATAAACATCTGTTAATATATTTGTTACAATATCAGATATATGTGAATTACGATTAGAAAGTAATGATTGAGTTAAATTATAAAATTCAGATGAAATTGTTGTATTTGAACAATTGAACTATACAAAAAAAACAAAAAACAATATATAGAATATTTATTCTAGTTATTGAATATTCATAGATTTCATTCTTTTTCTTACTACTTTTTAATATAAGTTTTTAAGTCGTTATGAAATATTGTTCTACTAGTACATTCTAAGGTAGGTTTATGGTGAGTTGATCTCATCCTAATTTACATAAAGGATTACTTTAACATAACTATCAAATTCTCTAATGACGATCCGATGAGAAAAGTCCTGAAACTTTTCAATTAATTTTGAATCGAGTACCTTGAAAATAATTATCGTTCTAGAGATACTACATTATCATATTTTTTAAAGATGATGATGTTGTACTAAAAACAAACAAAATTGATCTTTAAGTTTCCACTTGAAATTTTGCCTCAAGAGAGACTTTTGTGAATCTTTCAGGTCAACTTTATTTTCATATTAGTGTCTATTCCAATGAAAGAATAAATATAAAAACATAGAATTTTTTCTGATTTATTAGATAGTTCTTAGGAAAATGTATGTTCAATTTTTGAATATTTTTTTGTATTATTTTGAAATTGACAAAAAAAAATTGAAGATTTACAAAGTTTTTAGTCAATTTATGTTCATTCAAATAAATTAAAACAATTTCTCAAGAAAACATTTATGTTGAATTAATATAAAAATAGAAATTTTCAAATTAATATTTCAATCTAAATCCTATACTAAAAAGAAAAAAAGCGTACAAATATCTCATAGTTATAAAAATTATTTTCATATTTAAAAAAAAAACATTACCATTTTTTTTTATTAAAATGTAAAAATTATTCAATTGTATCTAATAAATATATATCAGGAATGATGCATTTGAGTATATATTATCATTTCTTTTTGAAATTCTATGAACACGATACAATCTCTTCAAATGATTATACGCTTTGAAAATAAGACATAAACAAGGAAGCACCCTAGATGTTTAGTTTTCTTTTTTCTTTTTGATTCATTTAAGCCTCATTTGATACATTATATTGAGGTGAAAAAAAGTCTTAAAGAGTTTGGACTCATGACCTATTTAAGAAGTTATTACGACTATTTTATTAAGAATTCTATTGAGAGATAGACATTATTAAACAAATTAAAAATGAAGAGATTTCCACTGAAACTTTGCCTTATCTAATCACTTTTAAGGCTTTTTTTCTATCTCGATATAATCTACTGAATGAATTCAAATTGAACTCATCTCTTCGGATACTTATTTCATATAGAGATTAGATAAACAATATAAAAATTTTTTCTTTTTGACAAAAAGACATTTTATCATATTTTTTTTTTTCAGATATTTATAATTTAATCAAAAGTACACATATTCTAATAATAATTATTGTTTAGAATAAAAATCTAATATCTTCTGTCTCAGATGAGTAAATTTCAAAATAGATAAAAAAAAAAAAATAAGGAAATAATAATTTTTGATGAATTTTTAAGATAAAAGTTCCTGTGACTTTTTTCTGTAATTGAAAAAAATATAAGTATATTATGTTACTTTCTGAAATATGATCAAATGAAAATATTGAAGGATAGAATGATAAAAATTTTAAGAGATTTTTTTTTTTCTCATCAATAATCATGATCTCTTCGTTTAATCTTTATATAAACAATTAATTAATTATATTTTCATATTTTAAATTGAAATCTTAAATGTTTAATAATATATGATTAAATTATTATTATTATTAACATCTATTTAATATTCTATTAGTAGAAATTCTATATGATATAATAAGAAGAAGATTGAAATATAATTTTATAATTTGAAATTTAAAGACAAAATCATATGGATTAGATCATTTTCAAATATATTTTTACTTTTTTTCTTTTTTAATTATATTTAGAAAGAAAACAAGTTTCTTTTTACTTATCTCAATATATTGTTTTGTTTTTTTTTAGTTATTAAATATTAATGAAAAGAAAATGTTATAGTACATCTAATTAAGTATTTTATCCAATATGAAAGTTAAGAGAACGACTCTTCTTCGAAGATCTAATGAACTCTCTCGAAATTTGAGTTTAAAAATAAAATAATTAATCTATTACAAAAGAAAAGAATTTTTTTGCTAAAATTTATTTTAAATATCGTATATTTCTATTATTGTTCATTTTTAAAAGAAAAGTTTACTTAAAGAGAACACTCGATGCAATCAAACACTTATGTTTTTATTTCGAATAAAATGAATATCTATCAAAACAATAACAGTTTTTGTAACTAACTTATCATTGAACATTAAGTATAAAAAAAAAAAGAACTAGGTCATAGTATATGGCAAATATTTCTTCTATTGTAATCATTAAAATGCTTGAAATGTTTTATTTTTTCAAATAGTTTATCATGAGTTGGAAAAAAATTCGATTTAGATTGATCTTAAATCATTATACTTTCATTCTTACTTTAGAAACACATACTCAATTAGATAATAAAAATTTTCTTGAATGAAAAAAAAAACTATATATATTTCTATACCTGATCTGTTTTTGATATTGTAATATTAGATCGATTAATACTTAATGATTGAAAAATACAATAATATTTATCAATTAATTCATCATAATTATTATGTAAATATTTTGAATAAAATTTTTTTGATGGTTTATCATCTTTAATTAATTGAAATATTTCAATATAAATATTTGAATCATTTGGTTTTGAACATTGTATACCAATCCATTCAAAACAAGTTATTAATATAGCAATAATAAGACTACTTATACATGCAAATATAGCACAAAAACGTGTTTCATGATATGATAATGAAAAAAATGTACGTGAACGTTGTATACTTAATATAGCAAGTAATATTGTTGATGCACGTGTCCATAATATTTTATAAAGTATCCATTCAAGACAAAATTTTCCCATAAATGTATAAACAAAATCTGTTAAATTATGAATTATTTTATCATTAAATATACATAATAAAGATGATTTATCACGCATAAATAATTCACGTTCAACCATTTCACTATAACCAATTAATAATGTTGTTGAATCACTTATTAATAAACAAATAAAATAAATTGCTATAGGTTTATGTATAAATGTTTTTGAACAAAATATAATAATACAAAATATATTTGATATTAAACTTAATAAATGTATTAATGGCATTAATAAACACCAAATTAATGTTGGACTAATATATAAATTTGATGTTTTTGTATTATTCATTAGATTAATATCCATAATATTTGTTATAAGAAAAAGAATGTATATTTATTTTTGTTTTTTTGGTTAATTCAATCAGAACTTTTAATTGTAATATTGAAACTTATCTACAAACACATAAGATATAATTTATGTCAAATTTTATTAATTATTATTTAAAAAAAAAAAACATACACGTATCTTTTCATAAGAATCTTTTTTTGTTTAATGATATGAAAAAGAAAACAATCAGTAAAAAACATCATGAAAGCATATATACGGTTCTTAAAAGAAAATGATATGTGCTTATATTACTGATATAATCTAGGACTTTTTTTTTTCGCTACTTCTTCTTATGATCTAAATCTATGTAACAATATCTTTGTTTTTTTTCTTGACATCCTTTACTTTGATTATCAGGATATCTTTGACAAGGTCATTTTACATTACATCTATTGAACTACATGATACATTTAATCAAAGTATAATTAAATAATATCTCGAGAGAAAACAACTCATAAGATGAACAAGACAAAAACATCAATATATAAACTTACATACCTATTTATTAAAATATTCATATTCAGAATATATATATATATGAAAATACTATGATTATGCTGCCTTCAGTTTTATATATATGTTAACAACGGAAAGAAAAAAAGAGTAAAAATGAAGAAAGAAAAAACAGATACCGGAAGAATTAGAGATTTTCAATGATTATAAAGAAAATGCTTAAGATGCATACTTTTGAATATATGCGTGTCTATAGGCTTGAATAAAGATGGGTCGAGCTTTTGCTATTAATTAAACATGAAAACTCTTGCACTGACAATATCATACAAATAAGTTTTAAATAGAATATGATTTGTTATTTCTTGGTTTTTTTCTTTTTCTAGTCTCTCTCCCCCTCTTTTTTTTTTTTTTTTTTACAAAACATCTCTCATTATTTATAAAGCAAAACATTTTATAATCATGTAAATAAGATGATTGTTTGCATTTAAGTCTATTTCATGATGTTAGAAACAAAAAAACAAGTTGATAATTTATGTTTATTTTTTCTACATTAAAATCTGTCTCGTTGGATAAATTAAAAATTCATGTCATAGTATAAACTAAATGAAACCTATAATGAAGTGAATAACGTACACAAAAACAAACTTAACGAACCAAAGTTTTGAACCAATTTATTCGAGAATAAAATATTGTCTTACATCTAACTAATACTAATCACTTTCCAAATGACATAAGCACAATCATAAAAGACTATTTTAAATGTTCTTTTTTTCACCTTTTGATACGGACAGTATGATGACATTATTGTAAACAATTAAATAGTTGATTTTCAAATTGTTTAAAGTCTATTATCAACTAAATACGATACAATTAAATATAATCGTCATACTGTTCTCTATCAAACGTCTATTTTATAACTATGAGCAATGACGAACTGTATGAAATAATTTAATACTATTTTTAATCTTTTCGATGACTTTAATCCTCGTTCTGAATAATATCGATGAAACTAACAGATTTTAATTCAATAATCGACTACTATTATTATTGTTCATATAGCGTTACAAAAATTTATCATGTGGAATTTTAGATAAAAATATTAATGTATATATATGAAATTCATTCATATATTAAAAATATCAATTGAATATTATTACCTTTCACATGACTGCATACATTTGTAAAATTTGTGTATTTATATAAAGTAACATTAAAGTCATAACTAAATTTAGAGAGCATAAAGCGTAGAGAAGAAGAAAAAAAAACATTGAACTATAAAAGATTAATTTAAATGTAAACATATAATTATTTCTTAATTAATATTCATACGTTTTTATTTAATGAATATCAATGAAAAGAAAGAGAAATAGAATATAAAATATATCGTAATAAATCTTAGTACATTTATATATATATGTACACTTGAATTGATGAATAAAATGAAGTATACTAGAACTAAATTGCATTAACAATGTAAATAATAAAATGACGATTACTTATTTTGATAAAAATTATTGTCTAACTATCATATAGTTGTTTATTTTATGAACTTTGTTTTTTTTTTTTCTTCCATCGATGAATAATATCAAGATTAATTATTTACATATATAAAGACTCAAAAAAAAGAAAAATTAATTTTATTCAAAATTCTTTTTTTTGTTTTTTATAAACAAAAAAAAGAAATCTTTGTTCTATGTCATGTTAGAATTAACTCTGTTTCTAACATCGTTTCTTAATTAATATACTTCTTTCTTACCAGACGTATTTAATGATTCAAAAAGTCAAATGTCATTTCAAATCATAACCAGACAATGATTCTTATTGGCGAAGTTATTATATCATTGAAACATTAGAAAAATAAAACAATACTAAGTTCAAAGAATATAATTAAAAACAATTTCAAAAGTTTTTCTTAAATAAATACAACAATAATAAAGAAGAAAAAAGAACTCTAGATTTCAATTAATATGGCATTCGAAATATTCTTACATTGTTCTTTTTCGAAAATAATATTGTTAAATAAATAAACTAAAAATAGAATAATTGTTCTGACCTAGTTTTCTTCCATGAAAATTTATTTTTTATTTTTTCAAATTACATTTGATATTAAAAGTCAATTTTTTTCGTCAAATAGACATACTTAAACACACAATGTTAAAAAGACAGACTATTTCATGTTTAAGAATATAATATTCTTTTAAAAAACAAAATACTTGTCTAAAATAGGATATTAAATTGAATGAATCTTTATTGACAATAAAAATGTTTTATCAAGATCTAGATTTAAAAAAGAAGACTACTTCTTCAATTATGATATGCACTTTTTCTTTCAATATACAGAAGCAAAAAAATGATGAGAAGTGTTAGAACTAATTCTATTATGCTATTGAATAGCTATGTTCGCAAAAAAAAACAAACTTATTCTTCGTTTCTGGTTGCGTGCTATTATTCATTGTCGGTTATTATTCACGTCAAAAAATTGGTGACGTTTATATACTCGTATGTTCTTTTTTTTTTTATTTACTATGGAATTTGTTATAAAACGTATGAGAAGAATCGAGAAAAACAAAAAAGTTGAACATTTCCTAATGATTATGTACTTTTTTTTTTTTTTTTAATTAAAAAATAAAAACAGAAAGTTTTTACATCATAGATAATTTAGTAGTAATTTCATCATTTTATGATTTATTATTAATTAATAAATACTGTTTGATATAACGTTCTTTATAAATGAATGTAATTTTAATTAGTTAGATAATATGATTTATATATATAAATATTTAAAAATTAAACTAATTATCTCTAATGTTCTGAATAGAAATGTATACTAATGGTATAAATGAAAAATTTTAAACATAAATATTCATATATATATTACTTTAAGTTGATATTAATGGCAAGTTCATTGCGGACAGGATATGAACTTAATTATCAGGATTTTCTATTCTTTTTATAATTAAGATTAATCCTATGACATAAAAATATCTTTTGAGTATGAAATAAAAGTATTTTTCAATCACGTACATATTATAAATTTATTAAATTGTTTTTTAATATTTTTAAGTATATTCAAATATTTCAAATGATTTAAATTCTCAAAAATATTGATTAATTTGTATATCATTAGTAGATTATAATTTAAAATAACTAATGTAGAAATATATATATTTGACTATAAATGAAGAATTTTGTTGACATGTAATTATTTTAACATAGTGCGATTCATAATGCCTTTCGGCTCTTTTTTTAAAACATCACTTCGAATGAATATAACAAGTCTTACTTACATTCATATATTGTTCTATGAATTAGATCTCATCAACTATGCATTAATTCAGCTAATAATATATATTTTTTTTTTTAATTATATTGTTGAGCTTGCGATCATATTAAAACCTAACAAATTCAAAATAATCGATGTATTAGATTGAGTATTTATTCACATGCAAATCGACTACATGATCATTTTATTTTTATCAAAACATAAAAATATTAATATAATTATAAGAAATAAAAGTTCAAACCACTAATACTTGTCTAAGAAGAAAAAAATTATTAAACTAAAAAAACAAAACACTTAATGAAATTTTTAATATAAAATCTTATATTAATTATTTGAAAGTAGAATACTTATATATACCTTTTTATCTTTAATGAAGATTAATATGAGAATTAAGGTATTTCAGTATAAAAATATGAACTTGAGAATATAAGAAAAAAAAAAGTACATATTGAAATATGAACTATTCTAAAAGACACCTGTATTCATATATATATACTCTCATATTGTCTTTCATCAAGGGTAATTATTAATCATATTTCTGAACGTCTAATATATACAAGTAGAAATCATATTTTTATCTTCTATTGACACTTCGACAATTAATCAATATATATATTTTATTTGAAGATTAAGAATAAAAAAAATAAAAGTAACATACGAGATATTTCTGTTCTACTTTAAAACATAATATTTTTTGTTAGTGCATGTCAGATAGAAATGATCATATCATATTAAGATTTAATACTGTAGAGAGAGAAAAAAAAACAAAAAAAAAGGTTAATTAATATTTCACACTAACGTCATAACTTTCTCTGTTAACAATAATAGTAAGAAAAACAAAAACTATATCCCTACAAAACAACAAAATAAATAATTTATTTGATCAATATCTATTTAGTTTATATTATCAAACTAAATAAAAATTGATTAAATAAATAATTTATTTGATCAATATTTATTTAGTTTACATTATCAAATTATTTCAGCAAATTTGAATCTTATACTCAATGATCTAAAACTACTTTTGCTTGTGTAGTATAAATTTAAAAATCTTTTAGAATTTAATATCTAAACTATTCTAACTAAATGAATATTATCTTAAATACATATAAGTTCGTATTCTAGATAAGTTTCTCTTTTGTCATGTACTAAAAATAATAAAAAAATAAAATTAAATGAATACAGTCAAACAGAGTACAATATTTTGTATTGGAAGGAAGATTTTTACAAACTGTTTTAT